CAAGGAAAAACAAGAAAACAAGAAGAAAAAAGATACAGAAATAGGTAGTCAGAAACAGGTATAGAGAGAAACTTAGATTTATGGAGAGAAGGAGGAGAAAGAAAGAAAGAAAAAGAAAGAAAGAAAGAAAGAAAGAAAGAAAGAAAGAAAGAACGAAAGAAAGAAAGAAAAGAAAGAAAGAAAGAAGAAAAAGAAAAGAAAGAAAGAAAGAAAGAGAGAAGGAGAAGAAAGAAAGAGAGAAGGAGCAGAAAGAAAGAGAGAAGGAGAAGAAAGAAAGAGAGAAGGTGAAGAAAGAAAGAGAGAAGGAGAAGAAAGAGAAGAGAGAAGGAGAAGAAAGAAAGAAAGAAAGAAAGAAGGAGAAGAAAGAAAGAGAGAAGAAGAAGAAAGAGGAAGAAAGAAAGAAAGAAAGAAAGAAAGAAGGAGAAGAAGAAAGAAAGAGAGAAGGAGAAGAAAGAGGAAGAAAGAAAAGAAAGAAAGAAAGAAAGAAAGAAAGAAAGAAAGAAAGAAAGAAAGAAAGAAAGAAAGAAAAGAAAAGAAAGAAAGAAAGAAAAGAAAGAAAAAGAAAGAGATTGGATAGTTAGCAAAAACAAAAAGAGAAAGTAAGCTAGAGGAGAAAGGAAATAAAAGAGAGGGAAATGGTGAAAAGAAATAAAATTCCACTTGAACATTTTAGAAATATTGGTGTCAGAGAATCCACTGATACTTCTGAGTAGTGGATGAGCAGCCTCAGAAGTGATGTTCCAATGCTGTAGAGAGACAGAACAACAGAAGTGCATTAAACCCCTTCATACAGTTTATTTTTAAATGAGGATGAGACAGTAGCTGTACACATATATTACAGTTTCTATGATTGATTTAGTAGAGTTTTCTAGCACCTGCATAGTGTGCCAGTCATACAGAGCCTGTGCCGGCGCTATACACTTCATCTGCACCTTGCATACTTCTGACAGTGATCAGCGAGCACCGACTGTCACTGCCCCTTCAGATCTCCTACAGTACTTCCCAACTGTCACTACAACTTTCCCTTTTCCTCCTAAAATAATATTGCATTTTAACTGATCTATACCATACACTTATTTAATACCTTCACCTATCTAGCCTATTCACCTCTGAAAGTTTTACTTTAGTCTTCCAAAACTAATTGCACAAGACAAATTCATGTATTTTGCATCAATATGCCAGCTTCTGCTGAACCCAGAAAGAAACACGTGGGTGGGTGCAGATAAACATTTTCTCACCTTAAAATGTTAGTGAAGAATGTGGACGTTTTCAAATGTTTTAGGGGAAAAGAGTGAAATATTGGCTCTTTAGTAAAGAGAGATCAGAAAGCTACAAGTAAGAGAGATATGAGAAAGAGAGAGGATAGGGAGACAGAAAAGAGGTCAGAGAGAAGGGCAGGAAAGAGACTGGGGGAGGTAGGTGAGAGAGAGACAAGACAAGAAGAGCGGGGGGTGAGAAATATTAGAGAGAGAGAATGAAGTGGGACTGGAGTGAAGGAGATCAGAGAGAGAGAGAGAGAGGTAATGGAGATAGTAGAGGGATCAGAGAGAGAAGTAATGGAGGCAGGAGAGGGATCAGAAGAGAGAGAGAGGTAATGGAGATAGGAGAGGGATTAGAGAGAGAGGTAATGGTGATAGGAGAGGGATCAGAGAGAGAGAGGGGTAATGGAGATAGGAGAGGGATCAGAGAGAGAGGTAATGGTGATAGGAGAGGGATCAGAGAGAGAGGTAATGGTGATAGGAGAGGGATCAGAGAGAGAGGGGTAATGGAGATAGGAGAGGGATCAGAGAGAGGTAATGGAGACAGGAGAGGGATCAGAGAGAGAATAATGGAGGCAGGAGAGGGATCAGAAGAGAGAGAGAGGTAATGGAGATAGGAGAGGGATCAGAGAGAGAAGTAATGGAGATAGGAGAGGGACGAGAGAGAGAGGTAATGGAGATAGGAGAGGGATCAGAGAGAGAGAGGTAATGGAGATAGGAGAGGGATCAGAGAGAGAGAGGTAATGGAGATAGGAGAGGGATCAGAGAGAGAGGTAATGGAGATAGGAGAGGGATCAGAGAGAGAGGTAATGGAGATAGGAGAGGGATCAGAGAGAGAGGTAACGGAGATAGGAAAGGGACAAGAGAGAGGTAAAGGAGATAGGAGTGGGATCAGAGTGAGGTAATGGAGATAGGAGAGGGATCAGAGAGAGAGGTAATGGAGATAGGAGAGGGACGAGAGAGAAATAATGGAGATAGGAGAGGGATCAGAGAGAGAAGTAATGGAAATAGAAGAGGGATGAGAGAGAGGTAATGGAGATAGGAGAGGGATCAGAGTGAGGTAATGGCGATACGGGAGGGAGCCTTTCTAATGTTTGTATTTTTCAGCTAGTTTTTTCTGTGCATTATTGATTGTTATATGTTCACTGTTCTGTAAAATAATAATTTTGCATATATGTTGATAAAGGCACAGACTGACATGTGACTGTAGCACACCATAGACCAGCTGTTGATGGTAAGTACACAATCGTTTGGTCAAATCCTCATACTTATTATCTTATTCCAAGGTATTTTTTCCATCATAAAAAAATGTTCATTAAAAAACACAAATGACAGTGTTTACAGGGTATACACATTAAAAAAAAACAGACATGTTAAACACAATGAATAAAATACTGATTTAACCTCTCAGGAACCAGGAGAGGCCAGTGCAATAGGTTACCCAGAATCCCAGCGGTCAGGGGGTTAAGAGGACCTGCCGTTCTTGGGATGTAGGCTGTTGGGTCAGAGAATAGTCCTAGGGTCACTTTCCATCGTGGCCCTGGTGGAAAAAAACCAGAGCCAGACACAGCTTTTAGGGACTGAGTAAGCTACATGTGGCTGTATTATTATCAGAATGCAAGCTATGTGTCACTAGTGCTACCACAAGTCAGATGTAGGGGGCAGCCTTTCCTCCTGGTCACATTTGCCCCCAATCTTATTTTTGCTCAACCATATGGTGCTTTGAGAACAAACTGTTACAACTCACAAAGCAACAGGCCTGTATGGGAAAGGTTCGATAAAAGCTGTCATTCTTTAACACCTTTGCATCATGCTAGTTCCAGGATATGGAAGAAGCTGTACGAAAGAGGATGGCAGCTTCCATCTGAAGCTTCTTTCACAGGTGATATGCTAGGTGGTAGATCCCACAAATGAAAAATGGTGTCTCTAAATATACCAAGAGTGAATAAAAACATGAAGGTCTTTGGCTCTCAGAGCCTCGGGGCTCAATGTTACCACTTAATAGTTTAATTAAAGACAATATTGTAAGTTGTGTCAATTGTTTTTTCAGCCCACAATATGGCTTCCTGCGCTGCAAAACTAAATCGGTTGGAAGACACATTTTGGCTGCTGGGTGAGTCAAATTTCCAATTCAAGAATTTAGTTTGGCAAGTTTTACAAAGTCATTGCAGAGCTTCCAGAACTGTTTGTGATTTAAAGCGACTGTACACCTCCAGATGCTTTTTATGTACTGTGGGCTACTTTCGGTTAACTAACCAACTGTCAAGCAGAATTAGACTTAGTGTACATCTGTACCAGGGGTGGACTGACAACTCATGGGGCCCCCGGGCAATAGGGGATCATGGGGCCCCTGTGTCCTTGCCCAAACTCAAAAAAGCCTATGAAAAATGTACCAGGGGCATCTCATGGGGCCCCCTACTGACCCCGGGCCCTCGGGCAGTGCCCGAGTTTCCAAATGGTCAGTCCGCCCCTGATCTGTACTAAGACAAACATGTAGGCTATCATTTCTCTGACCTCCGTTTAAAAATGCTAGTTTTCTGGCTGACCCTGGTTTCAATACTTTGAGTCACTTACCCCCTCAATGAGAACACAGGGAGTTAATTCAGAGAAAGGCTGGAACCCCTGATTTGCATACTTGTTCTGGGTCGGGTGCAAATAGAACTGAATCCGCCAGAGCAGCATAGAAGTCAGACAACTAGCATTTTCAGAAGGAGAGGATAGCAGTCCCAACCTACATATCCCCCCTGTACCATGTCACTTTAAATATCTTGAACCTGCTTGCTATTTGGGAACCTTCGGACTACTGACAGTTGCATCCCCAATAAACCTTTAAAAACATAATTTATATATGATACTGCCCACGCCTACTGACTGATGGAATATTTGCTACCCTATTGGGGTTTATGCTTTATTGTTTACCACATCATTGGTTGATATATTCTTATGTGCCTATCAGGGGCGGACTGACAACTCATGGGGCCCCCGGGCAATAGGGGATCATGGGGCCCCTGTGTCCTTGCCCTCACTCAAGGCACACCCAAAAGCCTATAAAAGGTATCAGGGGCATTTCATGGGGCCCCCTACTGACCCCGGGCCCTCGGGCAGTGCCTGAGTGCTCGAATGGTCAGTCCGCCCCTGGTGCCTATATATTCCATGAATCTATTTGCTACAACTCACCATGTAGGCGGGCTATGTTTTCTATATTTCTGTATACTGTTTTTTTTACAGATTTTCAATAAAAATATTGAAATATAAAAACATAATTTAAAGGACTTGTGCAAACTCTTCTTTGGCTTTTGCTAGGTTCGTTTTTCTAAATTCCTCCTGTGCTTTTTAGCAATGTCTTCGCGCTATCTTTCTGCATTTTACACGATGTTTGAGCCGCTTCTTAAATCAACTGCTTAGAAAGCACAGGGGAGCGTTGATCTCCCAGGACGTTTCTGAAAAGCACAGAAGAAAGCAGACAAAACAATGCGGTATATTTAGTAAAAGCTTAGAGAAGGGCATGTCCGAGTCCTCTGAAGATGGAGTCTTCCTTTAGTCTGCTGCAATGGAATTTGAGATGTGTACATAAGTCTGTATGCCTGCCGTGACCTCCTCAGACCTCCACACAACCCTGTATTACAGGGATAATCTGCACCTGGCACTCAGCAGTACACTGAGTTGGAGCTGTATGTGCCCAGCAGTAACACCCATCTGCCACCATGGGCATCAGCTACTTGGGCACACTGCAGGCTCACTTCAGCCAGTGATACAGGGGCTATAGTACATGGCGGAACTGGCATCGGAGAGAGCAGATATCAGACTGCTCTCCTCGCAGGCCATAGTCCTAGCGGACGCCAGCTTAGACATCTGCAAGTGGTACCCTGGGACAGCCACTTGAGTCCTGCTCATATTCAAATACTGGTCAAACTCGTTGCGGTCAACATCCCCCCACAGCTCAGACGGGTTCAGGTGCTCCATTGGGTCCAACTGGTGAGCTTCGGGCGGTGGGGAAAGTTGGCCGAGGGTGGCGCAGCCTGGAGGCCCACCCTGAGGGGTGTAGAAGAAAGCAGAGGACGGTGGAGTCCTAAGAATGTTGCCCATCTGGGTGGGTGAGGGAGAGTATGATATGGAGAGCTCCCTGAGTGCTTTCTCCTGTCCAAAGTCAATGCCAGGCTGGTACGATCGAAAGGACACAGGCTCACCGTCTTCCTGCATGTGAGGAGGAAAGAACACGGGTTCCCTCTGCTCCAGAACATCCAAAGGGGACATCTCCGGGGTGGGAAGGCCATATGTTTCCAGTTCACCAGACACCAGCGGCTGCAGTTCTCGAAAATGGGCGAGATTGGTTTGCGGGTGCCCCCCAGAGTAGCCCTCACTCCTCAAGATGGAGCTGGTGTCCGCTCTCTTCATCTTCTTGGCCTGCTTCTTCCTGCGCGGGCGGTACTTGTAGTTGGGGTGGTCCTGGAGGTGCTGGACGCGCAGCCGCTCCGCTTCCTCCACAAAGGGGCGCTTCTCCCCAACGCTCAGGTTCTTCCAGGACTGACCTGTCGGACAAACAACACAAGGTCATATACAGCTTCGAAAACAGGAAAAAGTCTAAATATGCATAGATGATGTCATAAATGTGACCAAGACATGCACATGTCCTTTGAACGTTTATTTATTTATCCTCCCAAAGCAAATTAGCTTTTAAAAAAGAACACAATGGTATAAAAAAAAAAAAATATATAAAATCCCATATTTCTGGTAAAAGTCTGTTGTCAGGATCGCTTTAATGAAATGTCACATTTTTTAGGATTAGCAATCAACGCAAAATCATATGTACAATGGATTGCAGTAACCTATCACAACCCATCATTCCTTACCCTTGCCAAATACATAGCTTATCATATAATATGCACATCATATTTGTCCTTTGCGTTGCTTCCCAAATTATTAAAAGAATGCAAACAAGGACAACCTATTCCTTTGATTCAAACTTCGATGTTCACATTCGCTGCTGCTTAGCATGACAGGTTATATTGTAAACCTCCTTTTTTTTCCTGCATATCAAAGATTTCAAGACAGTTTTTTTATGCTGATGAAAGGGCTTGTATTTCAAGTTTTGGTGAGCACTATATCTGTCACGGACTCAGGATATGAGCCCTTCGCTCCTGATTTCACCATGAGCTTCCCTGAGTACTCCAGGGATTCAGTGGTTCAGCTCACAGGGGTTCTACCAAGAACTAAAAATACAAATAGGACAGGAAGGGATGATCCTTTACCTAAATAATTAGAGCAAAAAAACTTTATTGAGTAAAAGGAACTGCAAGTATGTTTGCAGCATCACTTTAAAAAAAAATATTACATATACAATATTTGTCATTTAAACAGCCTGTACTAAAATGAGCTCTTCAATAATATAGTGCAAAATAATATTGAAAACATACTGCAAGGTGCAGTGCACCCAGGGCTGCTGTTAGAAACCACGGGGCCCCATACAGCCAACCTGACAGGGCCTCCCTTTAAAAACAAACAATAAAAAAACACAATTTATTAGGCTTCAGTTATGAATGAACACGGTGAGTGATTGGTAGCAATCACTTGCTGTGTTCAGAAAAAAAAGGGGCTGGTAAATGTGACATATTGTGCGCTGAGAAGGAGAAGAGGGAAGCCGGCAGCAGTGCGGGTGGGAGGGGGGGAATGACACTGGGGAGCGATTACTGGAACTGATCCCTTGTATGGCTCCTGCTGCAGCAGCCGATAGCCAGCAAGAGGGAGAGGAGATGAAGGCAGCTTTCATTTGCTGCAGAGAGAGACATACAGGGGATTGGTTACAGTAATTGCCCCCCCCCCCCCCCATGCCCACATTTGATTCACCCAGCTGCCTGGGCCCCCCCTGCTGGCCTGGGCCCCATACAGGGGGACTGGTGGTACCCATTATAACATACCAGACACATAGGGGTTGATTTACTATGGGCAAAAAGACTGTGCACTTTGCAAGTGCTGTTGCTCCAGAGCTTAGTAAATGAGGTAGAGCATCACTTTACAAAGAATGCCCAATCACATGCAAGAAAAAATAAAAAAAAGAGCATTTTTGCTTGCACATGATTGGATGATGGAAGTCAGCAGAGCGCCCCCTCATGTACTCTGGAGCAACTGCACTTGTAGAGAGCAACCACACTTACAAAGTGCAGTCTATTTTTCGTTAGTAAATCAACCCAACAATCATCAACATGTTTTCATCTAGTATGTTCTGCAAACAGAAAGCATCAATAAAGAGTACCTGTCCCAAAGAAAACAAAACCTAGGTTTACTAATGAAAGGATCGCTCCACCCAAAGCTTAGTATTTTTTTAGGTGGAATTTGGGTGGCTGCATCATCCATTGGCTAAATATTAAATATCTCTCCCCTCTAGTTCCCACTTCTGTTCCTGTCCACCTTTGCAGTTCCAGCTCCTCCTACTGTTTTCTCTAAAATATAAAATACAGTTTAAAATCTATCACTAATGGTGGGAATCCTCCATTAATAACATTTAAAATGCATCAGGGATGGTGGGAGTCCTCCATTAATAAAATGTAAAATCCATCAGGGATGACGGGAGTCGCCCATAGCTAAATGTTAAAATCTATCAGGGATGGTGGGAGTCCCTGTAAATAAAATTTTAAATTCATCAGGGGTGGTGGGAGTCCCTATAAATAAAATGTAACATTTGTCAGAGATGACAGGAGTCGCCCATAGCTAAATTTTAAAATCTATCAGGGATGACGGGAGTCCCCCATAAATATATTTTAAAATCCATCAGAGATGGTGGGAGTCCCCATTAATAAAATGTTAAATTAAACAGGGATGACGGGAGTCCCCCATAACTAGATTTTAAAATCTATCAGGGGTGGTGGGAGTCCCTATAAATAAAATTTAACATTCATCAGGGATGACAGGAGTCCCCCATGACTAAATTTTAAAATCTATCAGTGAAGGTGGGAGTCCCCCATAAATCAATTTTAAAATCCATCAGAGATAGTGGGAGTCCCCATTAATAAAATGTAAAATGAAACAGGGATGATGGGAGTCCCCCTTAACTACATTTTAAAACCTATCAGGGATGGTAGGAGTCCCCCATGAATACATTTTAAAATCCATCAGCGATGGTGGGAGTCCCCATTTAATAAAATGTTAAATTAAACAGGGATGGTGGGAGTCCCTATATATAAAATTTAACATTCATCAGGGATGACAGGAGTCCCCCATGACTAGATTTTAAAATCTATCAGTGATGGTGGGAGTCCCCCATAAATAAATTTTAAAATCCATCAGAGATAGTGGGAGTCCCCATTAATAAAATGTAAAATTAAACAGGGATGACGGGAGTCCCCTTACCTAGATTTTAAAATCTATTAGGGATGGTGGGAGTCCCTATAAATAAAATTTAACATTCATCAGGGATTACAGGAGTCCCCCATAACTACATTTTAAAATCCACCAGAGATGGTAGGAGTCCCCATTAATAAAATGTAAAATTAAACAGGGATGATGGGAGACTCCCATAACTACATTTTAAAACCTATCAGGGATGGTAGGAGTCCCCCATGAATACATTTTAAAATCCATCAGAGATGGTGGGAGTCCCCATAATGGGAACAGCGGTAATAAGACCTGGGAGCCCTCACTGATCGAGTCCCAGAAAGACAGACGAGACTCTCGGGTGCTTTAACTCTTCAGCATCTACCAAACCATCAAATTTTATGATGGATGATTCCTATAAACAAGGGGACATTTTCACATAGGCGCCCCGTGTCAGAATCACTGTTGCAATGTCACGCTTTGCAGCTGCTGTTTAGATTTCAGAGGAGCCAAAACCACCGATTTTCACTGCCGATTAGTCAGCAACAGCAGCATGAAGCTACAATGTTACAGCCGGCTCTGCAAAACAGGGATCCTGCTTCCCGTACAACATTGTGATCTAAGTACAATCACACACCATTGCTTCAAATCCCTTTAATTTTTTTCACACTGAATTGCATTTTATTAAGTTAAACATCCTCCACTCAGCTAAACCCCGAATGATGAATGTGAACCTTACAACCCAAAATCTTTATTTTGCTACCGTCCAAAAGGCGTTTGACCTGCGCCGCGAGACGCGTCAGACCGCCAGTCATCTCACCTAGCATCTTGCTCAGTACGGCATTGTGCAGGTCTGGGTTCTGCTGCGCCAATCTTTTTCGCTCGTCTTTGGCCCAGACCATGAAAGCGTTCATGGGGCGCCGGATTCGAGGTTCTCCTGGCTTGTCCTCCGAGTGGCTGTATCCATAGCCGGGTGAGGGGCTCGGCGCTGGGCTGTCTGGAACTGGTGGGGAGCTGGGGGCGACGTGACCGGGTTCAGGGGCTGCGGGCGGAGGGGGTACCCATGAACCGGCACCTCGTTGGCCCAGAGTAGTCTCCTCTGTGCAGTAACTTGGCTCAGATCTATGCATTCCAGCTGGGCACCTCTTGTGGGCAAAAGTGGGCACACAGAATGTGTAAATCCAGGGGCAGTGATCCGTGTACTCCTCTGGAAAGAGCAGCTGCCAGATCTATCTATCTATCTATCTATCTATCTATCTATCTATCTATCTATGTCTGCTATCTGTACAATCTTTGCCCTGCCTCTGTTGCCTGGTGTCACCGTCTCTTCTGTCATTCAGAATCCAGCTGTTTGGGTAGCTCGGAATAATAGGGACCAAATATAGAAACTTGTCACCAATCAGCTGCAGGGTGGGAGGAGGCAAACCCTGGAGGGGGTAGAGGAGGCTGCACCGGTGAAATACACTAGAGAGCTGGTCGGTTCTGTATGCTGTCATTAAATAGTTAACCCCTTAAAGCAGGCATGTGCAACCGGTGGTCTTTCTGTGCCCCTGGACCCTTCCATGTGGCACTTGGGTAAGCAAAGAATGTATTTTGTTTGTGACAGTAACGGCTCCTTGACTCACTAGAGTAGAGTAGTGTTTCTCAACCTTTTTTCAGTCAAGGCACCCTTTAAAATGATGGACAGTCCCGAGGCGCCCTTTAAAATTATGGAAAGTCCCGAGGCACCCTTTAAAATTATGGACAGTCCCGAGGCACCCTTTAAAATTATGGACAGTCCCGAGGCACCCTTTAAAATTATGGAAAGTCCCGAGGCACCCTTTTAAAATTATGGACAGTCCCGAGGCACCCTTTAAAATTATGGAAAGTCCCGAGGCACCCTTTAAAAAATAAGGACAGTCCTGAGGCACCCTTTAAAATGGACAGTCCCGAGGCACCCTTTAAAATTACGGACGGTCCCGAGGCACCCTTTAAAATTATGGACAGTCCCGAGGCACCCTTTAAAATTATGGACAGTCCGGAGTCACCCTTTAAAATTATGGAAAGTCCCGAGGCACCTTTTAAAATTTGGGACAGTCCCGAGGCACCCTTTAAAATTATGGACAGTCCCGAAGCACCCCCGAGGCACCCTTTAAAATTATGGACAGTCCGGAGTCACCCTTTAAAATTATGGAAAGTCCCGAGGCACCTTTTAAAATTTGGGACAGTCCCGAGGCAGCCTTGAAAATTATGGACAGTCCCAAGGCACCCCTTAAAATTAAGGACAGTCCCAAAGCACCCTTTAAAATTATGGACAGTCCCAAAGCACCTTTTAAAATTGACAGTCTTGAGACACCCTTTAAAAATTAAGGACAGTCCCGAGGCACCCTTTAAAATGATGGACAGTCTCGAGGCACCCTTTAAAATGGACAGTCCCGAGGCACCCTTTAAAATTAAGGACAGTCCTGAGGCACCCTTTAAAATTAAGGACAGTCCTGAGGCACCCTTTAAAATGGACAGTCCCGAGGCACCCTTTAAAATTCCGGACGGTCCCGAGGCACCCTTTAAAATTATGGACAGTCTTGAGGCACCCCATTATAAAATGTGAAAAACTATTCTAATAGTTTTCTATAACGCAGCAACATCCACACATGTAGGACACCCAACGTTAGAGATGATTTATTCTTCCAAAGCAAATACACTTGTCCACACTGGTACTGACTAGTATTCCAGTGTTTCTCCTCTCCCTTAGTTTTTCTGCATCGCTGAGCTAATGTGACCCCAGCACTGATGGAGGGGCAGGGGATGGTCAAACTAGGATGCTGTGCAGGCAGCTGACATCCTCCTTATCAACTGATGTCATTGGTTGTCAGGACGCCAGCAGCTAGAAGGTTATAATGGTGAACAATGAAAACCTGTGGCTTTGTGTAACTAAAAGGCAGGCTTCTTCCAGCCACTGGCTTGTATACAAGTTTTGGGCAATTTGTAGACATTTTGCCAAGGCACCCCTGAAGAAACCTCAAGGCACCCCAGGGTGACTGGGCACCCTGGTTGAGAAAGGCTGGTGTGGACAGATACCTTAAAGAGGAGCTCCAGTCTCTCCCCCAAAAATGTAAAGTCAGCAGCTAGAAATACTGGAATTATAAGGACACTTACCTGTAAAGGGATCCAGCGCTGTCCCTACTCGAGGCGATTGTTCAATTAGCTTCGGATCCAGGAGCATCTTAACTAAGGGAAACGAGCATTGAATCCGGCTTCACAGGTGCTTTCCCACTGCGCATGCGTGAGCCACGCAGGGGCACCCTGCAATTGCCGAGTATTACAGACGGGGGAGAGACCTGTGTATAAACAACACAGATCTCTCCCCTGTCAGCTCTTGCACACTGCTTACAGTGAAGCACACAGACACAGCACACAGTTAACCCTTTGATTGCCCCTCATGTTAACCCCTTCCTGCCCAGTGCCATTAGTACAGCGTCAGTGCTTTTTATTAGCACTGATCACTGTATTGGTGTCACTGGGGATGTCAGCGACACCAAGTCAGTTCCCCCCCAGTGTCAGAATGCCTGCCGCAGGCCCGCTATAAGTCGTTGATCACCGCCATTACTAGTGAAAAAAAAATAAATTTCAGTATATATACAGCCAGTTGTAGACACTTTCACGTAAACCAATTAATTTACACGTATTAGGATTTTGTTTTTAGAGAAGACATGTCGCAGAATACATTTTGGTCTAAATTTATGCCGAAATTAGATTTTTTAACATTTTTTTTACTGGACATGTTTAACAGCAAAATGTCAAAAATATTGTTTTTTTTCTCACAATTGTCGGTCTTTTTTTGTTTATAGCGCAAAAAATTAAAACCGCACAGGAGATCAAATACCACCAAAAGAAGGCTCTATTTGTGGGGGAAAAAAAGGACGTAAACTTCATTTGGGTGCAGCGTCGCATGACCGCGCAATTGTCAGTCAAATTAACACAGCGACGTATCGCACAAAATGGCCTGGTCAGGAAGGGGGGAGTTGGAAATCCTCTGGAGGGCGAGTGGCTAATAGCCATTTGTTTATCTTTTTGGAGTTGCCTGCAGGCAGGCTATATAATTGAATAGAGACACAGCGACTGCACAGACCCACCTGCATAGCTAAGGCTGGCCATACATTATTTATTTATTCCAGGTACTTCTATAGCGCCGTCAATTTACACAGCGCTTTACATATATATTGTACAGTCACATCAGTCCCTAACCCTCAAGGGGCGTACAATCTAAGGTCCCTAACCCTCAAGGGGCGTACAATCTAAGGTCCCTAACCCTCAAGGGGCGTACAATACTAAGGTCCCTAACCCTCAAGGGGGGGTACAATCTAAGGTCCCTAACCCTCAAAGGGGCGTACAATCTAAGGTCCCTAACCCTCAAGGGGCGTACAATCTAAGGTCCCTAACCCTCAAGGGGCGTACAATCTAAGGTCCCTAACCCCTCAAGGGGGGTACAATCTAAGGTCCCTAACCCTCAAGGTCCCTAACCCTCAAGGGGCGTACAATCTAAGGTCCCTAACCCTCAAGGGGCGTACAATCTAAGGTCCCTAACCCTCAAGGGGGGTACAATCTAAGGTCCCTAACCCTCAAGGGGCGTACAATCTAAGGTCCCTAACCTCAAGGGTGTGTACAATCTAAGGTCCCTAACCCTCAAGGGGGGTACAATCTAAGGTCCCTAACCCTCAAGGTGTGTACAGTCTAAGGTCCCTAACCCTCAAGGGGCGTACAATCCAAGGTCCCTAACCCTCAAGGGGCGTACAATCAAGGTCCCTAACCCTCAAGGGGCGTACAATCTAAGGTCCCTAACCCTCAAGGGGCGTACAATCTAAGGTCCCTAACCCTCAAGGGGCGTACAATCTAAGGTCCCTAACCCTCAAGGGGCGCACAATCTAAGGACCTAACTCACATTCATACATACACATACTAGGGACAATTTAGACAGGAGCCCATTAACCTACCAGCATGTCTTTGGAGTGTGGGAGGAAACCGGAGTACCTGGAGGAAACCCACACAGGCACAGGGAGAACATGCAAACTCCAGGCAGGTGATGCCGTGGTTGGAATTTGAACCACTGACCCAAGTACTGCCAGGCGGAAGTACTAACCATTTAGCCACTGTGCTGCCCATTATACAATTTTCTTGAGAATTTGCTTTAGATTTACTTAAAAACATATAATATGAGGTGAAATCTAAACAACACTTTCACATGTATCCAATTAGGCAGGCTCTTGCACTACATAGTTGAAGGTGTAGCTAAAGGAAATTGGGCAGAAATTGGACAGAAAATTGTATAGTGTATGGCCAGCCTAAGTTTGGCAGGCATTCAGGATCGTGCACTTGTCCCTTGCATACCTGTGAAACTCAGCCATGCAGGTGAGTCCGTACAGCCGCTGTGTCTCCATTCAATTATAAAGACTGCCTGCATGCAGCCCCACGATATTCCGAAAAAAGATAAACGGCTCATCATGCTGCCATAGACTCTGCAACCATGTGAATGAGACTGTGTTTGCCAAAGCACTGTGTATCAAAAGCAGTTGTCATTTTTTTTTTATTACATATAATATGTGTTTTTATCCTTTTATCCTTTTTTTCTTGCATCTTAGTGCTTATGATCTCCTGCAGCCCTTTTACAGCCACTTCCTGTCTACATGTATTCCATGTTATTGGCTGCATTGGGTTTCCTAATGGTGACAACAGTGAATCGTGCCTCTCCAACTTGTGTCATGAAACCACTAGGGCAACACAAATGAAAAATTGGGGGACACGGGCAAAGCGTTGTCTCCCTATAACAAGAAAAGCAAATGCCCATTCATGGCAGGATCACCAGGGATTACTTTACTGAAAGATGCAGGTTTTAAAATATTGAAAGTGACTTTTGAACCTCTTTTGTATGACATTTTAGTGCAGGTAAAATAATTGTTCTGTCGTTTCCTGTTATGGGCTGACTCTCCTGATTGTGCTCCTGTACTGTCACACAGGTTTCCGATGAAGACTGCAATCAATCCTATCAACACACATTACGCAGGCATGGTCCTCTGTTGTCACCATCAGAAAAGCGGCCTTCAGAAATGCCATGCAGCCCTCGCTGGAGCGCTTTCATTTCCTCACTTGATATTGC